GGAGATGAGGCCGCCGAGGAGGCCGTCGAGCACCACGAGCCGAGGGAAGCGGACCCCGCGGCCGGCTTCAAGTGGGGCTTCCTCACCCACAAACTGGCCGAGATGAGGGTGAAGGCCGCGCCCAAGGGCGACTAGCCGGCCGGCTGCCCTTACCCACCCCTTATAAAAAGTACCGCAGCCCAATACCTGCTGTGATCTCGTGGTTTCATCCTGACAACAGCATAAGCAAATTGGGGTAGGCGCCCCAGCGCTATCCATCTGGAGGGTCCTCCCTTATTCCCTAACAAATATGCAGGGTTTACGGTTAGGTTATGCAGGGTTACTGTTAGGCTTACGGTACAACTTTCTAGAAGGCAAGGGGAACCCAGGAGACAGCCTTCGACGTCTTGCCCGCCTTGTTTAGTTGAACAAATGTTACGGGTGGCCCTGCTGTCTGCGTGGTCCCTGTATTATGGGCAGGTCACAGCCAAAGGAGAGAACTCAGCATTAGCGGGTGCCACAGAAGGTGACAAACTGAGACACAAAAATAGGGCTGCCTACGGTAAGTCAGGAAGTGAGGTGGACTGGGAATTCAGGAAAGCTTCCTGAAGAGTATGGGATCTAGAAGGGTGGGTAGAGAGAACGGGGAAGAGAACCTAGGCCGAAAGAGGAGAGGTGCGGACTTGTGAGGAAAACGGGTGATTTTATGTGTCCTTGAAGGAAAGGGAGACAGTAGCAAGATGTGAGGTTTCTAGCTGGGAAAATCCCGGACTTAGTGACCACAATTTCCAATCCTCCATGTGTCGGTCCTTCAAACTTACTGACCACAAGGGAGCAGCAAAGCTCCAGGAATAGGAGCCATTTAGGGGTCGGTGGAGCCCAGTTTTCTGGGGCAGACCCTTCCCCAGGTGCCCGGAATGCTCTATTTCCAGTTTTTCCGCTCCAGTTTGGATCGACCTGATGGTCAGTGGCAGAAAAGATCGCAGTACTTAGTACTAATTCCGTGGTAGTCAACGCACTCTGTATTCCAGGCGTATTGCCACGTGCATTACAGTTATTTCAAAACATTTTAATTATCTACTACCCTGTCCCCTCTTTAATAATCGGGGCTTGCAGCTTTGGTCCAGAGAGTTTGAGTACTTGTCCCGGGTCACACAGTCCTCTTCAAAGCCACACGCTTAACCGCAAACTTCTTCTCCTTCCTCAATATTTGCCCCTAACCCAAACTCATGACCCATTTAAGTAACGTTTTAGCTTTATTCAGTAGGTTTGCGCATCTCTCACTTTCATCCTCGTTCCCCAGACCAGGTCTCCGAAGGGATCGCGAGGCCACTGCGTCCCTCTCCGCCGCCAGCGCTGGGAGGGACTTCGGGCTCACTTTGTCCTAACTTCGCAAGGTTCGGGTGGGGTAACGGAGATCCCGAGGAAGGGCTTGCCCCTAAGCCGAGCGCGTGGTCCAGCCCGCACTCGCAGCGACCCGGGGCCGCCCCCGGGAGCCGCTGTCACACC